ACGTGGGCCTCAAACCCACAAACCGTGAGATCATGACCTGAGCTTAACCGACTGAGCCACCCAGGCACCCCAGAAGGGGACAACTTTATCCTTTGAATCTCCCAATTTACTCTCTCCAACCAGAACTAGTTAGGATCGAAACGGACAAGATTTATCCTTCCTCAGAGTCCAGGAGCACCTCAGAAATAGTGTCTCCATCTGAGTGCAATGTTTCTTCCAAAATCAACTCTTCAGGTTTCCAATCTCAGGAACAGGCTCTCACGGCTGAGAATCCAGGCACTGGTTCTTCCCCGACTTCTGTCAGTGGCTCACCAGACACTGTCCGTCCTTCCTTCAACTGTCTGTCCCCTTCTCCAGGCTCCTGACCTAGCTCAGGTATTTTGTTTCTCCTGAACTAGCATCTCAGCCTCCCCCTTGACTAGCCCACCCCTAGCCCACCTTGGCCCCAGAGGGATGCTTCTAGCATCCAGGTCTGATACTGCCCTCCCCTGCTCAAATCCTTCCACATCCTACTATCCACTGCCTACAGGTAATACCAAAGCTCCAGTCTGGGCCTTCAGGATCTGACCCTGCCTGCGTTCCCATCATCAGCTCCTTCTTTCCCTTAGTTCTAAGCTTCCTGACAACCGGTCCACAGAAGACCTCGATAAAGAGCAAACGAATTACTCCTACAATGATTCTGTCCCACAGAAATTCCTGTTGTCGGATTCTCCAGCCGGAGGAGAACTGCAAATATCTAAACAGAAGTCTGCAAAAATCCCAGGATCATGCAACCTATTTTATGCACTTGGACCCCAGCAAAAGCAACTGGGGAGAGCTATCTCAAAGGAGGGAGGGAGGGGGTCCCCCCGCCCCGGAGGGGCGGGAAGGGCTAATTGGAACAGACGCACCGATTTTCAGCGAGGAGAAGCCTCCTTTTGATCTGTCCAGTGTGCACCCCAGAATTCCGACCTACACCGATGCCTGCCTCCTGCAAGGGCGTCTCGCCCCCTCCCCACCCCATCCCATGCTTGAACCCACTCTGGAAGGCACCAGAGAGAGCAGCTCCAGACCCCGGGGGTGGTGTGCTGGTGATGGAGGAAAGCAGCCAAGCAGACCAAGGTGGGATTCTCCGGTCAGCTTCCAGGACCATTCCCACCCCTACACTTGCCCTTGGGCAGGGCGCACGCCTGGAGGTGGCTGGCAAGGCCACAACGCCCCATATCTGGGGGGGGGGGGGGGGGTGGTTAGGAGGAGAGTCGGATTCCCTCACCTCCTCTTCGGCTTCGGGAAGCCCGACCCGAACCCCCAAAATTCCCAGAGAAGGTGTGGTGGGCTCCCCGGGTCCCCGCCCGTGGCGCCCCGCCCCCTATTGCGGGGCACGCCGGGAAACGAAGTTCTCGGCCGCGTCGCCGCAACAGGCGGTCCGCAGGCTCCGACTACAGGTCCCAGGATGCACTGCACTCCGCAGCCCGAGGAGGGCCGTGGTTGCCCTTGGCAACAGAGCGGGTCTCCGAGAGCCGGGACCCGGACGCGCACGGGAGTTGGGGGTAGGGGTGGGGGTGGCGGGGCCGGAGCGCGACCTGGGCGAGGCAAAGACGCGGGCAGAGCGACGGAAGGGAGACAGGAGGAGACCGACAGAGCGGCACAGGGTTTTCCAGAGCCAGAGAGGGGGAGAGACGTGGAGGGAGGGGGAGACCCCCAGAGACGGAGAGAGAGGTTCATAGCCAGAGAGGGTGAGGAAGGTGGG